TTACCTCACTGGTTGGAGAAAAAGCTTCTTATATTCGTTAGCATAGCTAGCTAACCAGATGCTAATAACAACAACGTTATTGACTGTATGATCAGTTTGACAGATGAAGAGATCGCCACTGGGCTTTCAACTAAAGACACAGCCACGCAAAAACTGCGGCATGTGTACAGCTCCTTATGGGTATGCAATTTGTGAAGTCCCGGCCCGGAGCCGCGTTCTGGTGCTCTCCGTTAGAACTACACTCCTGTCAGACGAGACATATACCACGTGATGACACGTTAGGCTCGTGTTGTGTTCAAGGACCCTGACCTTGGCCAGGAAAAACAAGCTTGTTTAATTATTTTGCGGTCTAGATTTCTTGAATTTTTTTCTTTTTTGCGTGTGTTTATAAATTACCTCGAGGGCAACTGGATTTGATTAAGTGAATTAAAAAGAAAAAAATGATGACAGAACAATAAGATGTTGCCAGAGTGTAACATGGTGTACAGCGCCATCCTGTTTAAACCATGTCAAGGATTATTTCTGATAGAGCTAATTTCTGAGGCTGCGTGAGTTCCCCGGGGACACATATTTATGTATAAAAGACATCACAAAGAGCATTTTGCATGATAGGTCCCCTTTAAGCAAGATTGTTCCCAACAAATCGTCACTAATACTACTTATCACACTGCATCTCCAGAGTATGTGACGAAATGAATTACACACTAGCTGTTACTCTGATCGGAAAACAAAAGTATTTCTAGTTGGTTTATTGTTTGTTTATCATTATTATTTTATTAATGTATGTTTATGTATGCACCAAAAACACCAAGACAAATTCTTTACATGTGTTAACCTACTTGGCACCTACCTGTTTCTAATGCATGTTACTGATTATATTTGACAAATCTAGTTTCACAATTCTTTACCTAATTTTTAAACCAGTCGCAACTATGACAAAATATAAAATCTGTAGAATTAGCCAAAATGATGATAAACCAAGCACTACTAGCAGCATCAATACATAATTGTTCACAGAATAGTTCATGGAAGGAACAGATACGAATGTGTATCTCAGTGTGGTCTGGTTATTCATGATTATGCTTTATTTTGGATTGTGTCATATGTGTATAATGAAATCCAAGTATACTTCATTTATCCATAATTTAAATGGGGGCTGGAATGATATTATAGTATAGTTTTGACGAGAGAAAGCTGGTAATTCAAGGGTATTTGATGGAGACACTGTGGGTTTGCAAAAAGTATTGCTTTATTTTGATATATAATGTAAAGTGGAACATTTACATTTTCGATGACTTACCAGGTAAGGCATTACTATATAAATGTGGTGGAAAGTAAGTACATTTACTCAAGTACTGTATATATAACTAAGAGGCTCCTGTGCTTTACTTGAGTATTTTAATTTTCTGCTAATTTAAACTTCTATCCCACAATAATTCTGATTGTTGAGCTTCAGACTTTTAATAATAATAATAATAATAATAATAATAATAATATATAAATAGGTTAAGTTTAATTTACTAATTTATACCCAATAGTACAGTTTTTCAAATTAGCTTAAGATGTACCAGATGCAATATATATTAACTTCTTCCACCACAGTATATTTATTTGTAGGACGATGTAGCTGAACTGTGAAAACGACAAACTGCGGCTGTAGCCATGACAGCGGCGCCGTGTGCATCTAGAATGATCCCCGGTCTGAGAGCAGGCTGCTGAGGAGCCGATCCAAAAATACTCTGCAGCATGTGCTACTGGCGGACCGCCGCAGTAGCTGTCGGCATCCTGACACAATCTTTTAACAGATATACATCTACTGGCCCAATTATGATTTTCATTTGTCCGTCACCTTATCAATGATAGAGTTCACATGGTGAGCTTTCACACAATGATTCAGTAACTCAGGAGTTATTCAAAGCCATTATGCCGGTGATTTGCTAGGAGTTAGCAAGACATAGACAATGGCTACAGAGGCAGGCAAACCTCAGTGTGATATTTTTCAACGATAGAGCAGCCGTAAGAAGTGTAAGTCATATGTGCTAGCTTAATGTTAGCTAACCTTATAGCGTGCAATTGCAAATTAGCAAGAACCGCACGCAGATGCACGTTCAGTTAATCTTGTTGAATTAGCACACTTTGAATTCCGTTTAAGCTATATTGCAGAGTCGCATTGTCAAAATATGGTGTGTTGGTTTGATTATAACCTTAATCGAAAACATCAGCCAAACAGCTAATACACATTACTACCGGATTGACGCTAAGCTAACGAGCTAACTAGCCGACTGGTAAAGGCAAACAGTGAAGTCAAGGTGTAGAAAGGTGTCTACATTGCACTACTTAAGTATTTAACTTAATTAATCTCTACTCTATTCTAAGTTCTATTGTAAAGATATGTAAAATTGAAGGAAATAAACCAAAAAATTAAGATAGTTCTCTGCCACTCACTTTCTCCATGGTGCAAGCATGAGGTTCCTTCCAGAAACTACTGCGTACAAGCGCCTCCCCCGGAACACGCAGGTTGCCAGTTTGGGATGTAGGAAATACGCGATCAACGCTCAGATTTATGTCTCACCAGGAAACTTACTGAAACTTCTGGAAGATCATGGAACAAAACAACAATGTGTGATGTGTTTCATGGTATATTCTAAGGGGAATTGGCTGACTGATAATAATTTAGGGACAGATCAGTTGGTTGATGATCATGGCTGGACATTAGAGGGCAAACCTCGACGCATAATAACATAAAAGTCAATCATTAGGACTTTTCAATGACATGTGGAAGGAGTACACAAATATACTAGGCTATCTTAATACCTTCATGAGTGAAAGATAACGTGTGGAGATTTATGGCATCAAATATGATAGTCATTAATCGATACTCATTATTTATGGCAAGATTATATTACACAAAATGATATTACAGTTTCATATGATGTAGAGAAGATCACCTTTAAACATATGGTGCTATGGCCAGTTATCACTGATATGTTTTTAAATAGTTTTGAATACAAGAACTGACGGTTTTACCATTTATCTTAATCATTAGCAGAATCAGAAAATATAACCAACGTAGACAATGGCCCTGTCTCAGGTCGACTATTTTCATTTCCTCGGTCCTCGGTCTCACCGGAAGTTGATTAGTCTGCGCCATCTTGAGTACCGTCCCATGGCTCTTATTTCTGCCGGAGGACCGAGGAGCGATAATGGAGGAGCGATAATCGAGGAACCACCGATCCATCTTCCAATGAAATCCTCAGATACTCGCCCCGCCCCCTTACTGTGTATCGCTCACTGATTGGACGATGCAGTGAATGCACTGATCTCATGCTTCTTGACATGAGTGCAGTTTCCCAGCGGAGTGAAGAAAACACATGAAACTCACGGGACTCACTCCTCAGTTTATACCGTGTTTTGTTTCAATTCATGTATCATGTAGTTACAGATATGTGATATATCTGAACAACAAAGTGGTCAAAAATAATTGTATTCATTTGCAGACTAATTAATATCAACAATAACCATAGCCAATTAAAAGGTAATCCCTTATTTTATTTTTACTGTCATTGATTTAGAATAGCATACCCAAAATGTCTACATTTTGTTATCCATTTATTGTCTATAGTGCCCTCAAATAAAAAATGCAGTATACATTTATGGATGCCTTTGTTATACTCCTCATATTTGGTAAGCATCTGTTAAAAAAACATCCTAAAATAATTTCTGTGAAGTATACTTCTATATTACTAATGTTCAATTCAATGTATAATATCCTAAAGGGAAAACAAATCTTCCTAAACAATTACACCAAGTCTCGTTACATGATGAATATTTTATTTAACAACATTATATCTGTTATATACAATAAAAACACAAGTGAAACAAAGACAGCTGGGGTGCAGTACTGGTGTGACACAGGGAAATATTGAAAAGCCTGAAAAGCACAGAAGCTACAATGTCATCTGCTCAGCTCATTACCTTCACATTAGCCATGGTTAATCACACAAAACTCATTAACAGAATAATGTAAGTACATCCTGTATCAATTAGTGGAGTCTTGTCTTAGCCAAGCTTAAAGACAATGACCGTTTGTGTCTAAAATCACTCCAGTGACACACATTGAATAACAATCTGCGAAGGTTGAGCTGTATGAGGCACAAATAGCAGATTTACATTACAGGATATAGACAATACATTATTAACATAGATCAGGACCAAACAAAATATAAAACAAAGAACACCTAGCCAAAGCACCTCAATGCAAGTCAGATGTAAGCCTGTGAAAGTACATGATTCATTTTATGGGTAGCAATGGTTTGGATATTGTTGCAGATCTTTGTTGACCCGTAATATTTGCTTGGTTTGTAAATAACTCCTTGGCTTTTGACAATGTTGGCAGCAGGCCTCATTTTTGCAATTCCCTTTTTTAAAGAACCCAAAAGGACGACATGATGGTGGCTGACAAACATGACATACCTTCACTACTATCTACTGCTGTGAGTGTATTCTGATGAGGCACACAGGAAGACAACATGGCTGTGGTTGAGTGATTAAAAACACGTAAAGATAAAATAGATAGAAGTTAGTTAGTGATCTTGTTCACACACACAAAATAATCTTAAATGTGCCTTAGTTTAAAGAGATTTTCACCTTAAATCAACTCAAATCTGTTCCTTTTTTCAACAAAATGAACATGTGCACCCCAAACAAATAATAAGAAGAACACACGTATGACCTAGCAGGTCAACATATAAATATTCTTTTAAAAAATACATATTTACAAATGAAAACGTATATTCTCCTATATCTTTGTACAGTGAGCGAAGGGTTGTGAATTTGCATGAAGGTGTTTGGTGGCTTAGGAACAGCAAGCACCTGCGTCCCTTCGTTTGTTTAAAATGATTTCACATACTTTCTGAATTCTGCTGTCTTTTATTTGACTTTAACAGTTAAAACCAGGGGATAATTAATGCTGCTTAGTCTATTGGATTCATTTTCAATCCCTGATTTACTTGTAAATGTGCAGTTTTACCAACAAAACAAATAATATTAACATCTGCACAATAGTTTAAAAAAGAGAATGCAAGTTGGAAGTGTGATTGCACCCTGACCTGCAACATCCCTTCTTGTCAAAATAATCATATTTTTAGCACATTTAAAACTTCCTATTTTTACACAATTCCTAAACGTTTCTTCAGAGATAACCACATTTTACCTCAGAGAAAAAGTAAAGATCTCGGAGGTAAATTCAATTTTGAAAGATTGAAAGACTCAAACCTGACATGGGGAAAGCTAATAGAAACATTTGAAATCAAAACTAGACTCAGGTTTGGTAAAGATCAGTGTTAGTGTCCTATAGGAGCATCGAGGTGTAGCCAGGGATAGAAGCGGGACCTTGCATGAATACAACACTAAACACTGCCATGTGAGGAGTGTAAGTCACACATCCCCCGGTGCAAACACAGCAAGTCACTATCTTCCACAAACACAGCGATACACAACAAAGCAAAGACTCCGACCATTATATACTCTCCTATCACTGTAGGAGATATGTATCTTATCAAGCCCATACAGTATCACCACATCAAATTAGTCTCACAGGCTTACTTTTCTTCAAAAAATAGTGACATATCTTCCGGTTATCAGTCCATTCTTGACTAGTTACACCTCTGTCAAAGTCATTTGAATTACTTGCCATGATAAATATCTTCCCAGTGTAGCCAAAAAATAAGACATACAGTACATACATAAATAAAAGCAAAGTGCAGCATGAATTACCATCAATACAGAATATAGAAAATATACTTTGTGTCATACATTTATACACCAAACATACTGCACAATGTTGGGAATGCATACTTATGTAAAAGGGTTATGATGCTACAATAACTTTTCAGACAGTCACAATTTAGAAAGCGCCTGTCCAATAAAGCCAGAAATACATGGGAAGCTTCTCCTTTTGAGTCTCTAAAGACAACAAACAAGGATGTTTGAATGGTATATGGAGCAAATACTTGGTTATTTATTATTTTCTAAAGCGGTACTTCCTCATCACTCACTTTACTGAGGTGTCAAAAGTCACATTCAATTTAAATGTCATACAAAGTGCAAACACTTTCTTTGTGAAGTATCACGCAACATGTCAGCATGGAATAATTTAGCACATCTCAGAGTTTTATGCCAAAATTATTTTTCTAAAATGTATTTAATTTTTTTTTACTTGAAGCCCGACTGTCGTTTCCATTCTTAAACAATTTCCAGTTTGCTCTGAAGACAGATTTCATTTTTTGATTTTTCTTAAATGCCAGAAGTTGGAAATATTTGAGATGACTTTTCTTACCTCTCTTCTTTTAATAATAATTTTTTTTTAAAGCACCTAACTTTTCTTATTTCTTCAAAGAAATAGAGAAACTAAAACTTCAATCTGTGAATTCATCTGTGAAAACATTAGCACCTTTCCTTGAAACTACACTAACGTAATTTCGTGCTGTCAGTCATAACATGTGACTGGTGAACACAACAAGGGAGTAGTGATTTCCTTTGTGGAAAAAGAGAAATAAAGAAAATCATATTAATTAACCATATTAGGAACTGAATTTCAATGACAAGTGGGTCTTCCAGTAACATATTATTACCTTATACTTAAACATTATTAGTACTTTCCCTTTAGTTTCCTCCCTTCATAATCAGCCTCTAGATTGTTAAAGCTGCAGTTTCATTATTAATTGCAAATTTTATATGACTCTTACAGTATTTCATTTAATAACAGCTAGGCCAGGTAAATATGGTTTTATTTTGTACTTTTCTACATTATTGATTGTGGCTCTAATGCTCGCTTTGCTGCTTCTCAGGTTAACAAAGTGCATCTAACACATAAGATTTACATCATTTTACTTTATGTGATGTAGCGCAATATTTAGCTTTAATCCCAAAGGTCCTAGTTGGAAAGCATTACGATTCTAAATTAGCTTTAGTGTATTTCTATTATATACTTTATAGAAAAATCAATTTGTAAGGTAATAAATATGATATCTTTCTTCAACAAAATATACATTGCACATTACCCTATTGGAATCTAATTGTGTAAAACACATCAGCTTACATGTTTGTATCCACAGGTCACAGTCCAAAAAGATTGAACAAGTAAAGATCTATTTGCCTCGATATACAGTATTGTCTTGTCAATCAGAATTTAATGGGTTTTTTAAAAACAAAATTATCTGGTTAAGAGTACATTTTGTGTATTTGGTTTAAATGCAGCACCTACAATAACCAGCATCCAAGACTGAGCCTGGTTGAATCACTAAAGATAGCAAGGGAAGCTCTGATCTTAAAAAAGTGAAATCAACTTTTGGATTACAGTTTACAAATACCAATTTACTATTCAGAATAAATACACTAGAGACCTGTGGATGCTGCCAACACATATAAGGTTGCATGTGTTCACCAGCTGGCAAATAGTTTCAATACTTTGGCATCGCTAAAAAGTTCTCCAGCCTGTCAGCTCGTAGTATGGAGCTGCAGGCAGAGCATAAGGTTGAATAATCCCTTCTTAGACCTGTGATTTTGGAAGGCTTCCCAAAAATATTACCACAAATTAACAGACAAAATATGGACAAAAGTCACTAAACTAGTAAGGTATATTGCACTAAAATATCCTCCCTAAACAGGAATATAAAGTAAAAAAAGTGCATCTTTGCGATCCATGTCACCACCATGGACCTGAACTCAGAAGTGTATGAGAAGTGTCAACACACTCTGCCTCTAGTCTGCAGTGATGGACATGTACCGGGATCTTTTCAGGACACCATAAGGTAACAACTTTTAGAGACAACTTACTTTTACACAGCCCACGTTTGCCGTGTTCGATAAGTGTCGTCCTGAAAAAGACTCGCCCTTTTTAATGAATAATTCCGAGGAATGTACAGTTAATTTAATCTGCAGTGTTGTAAAGTGACTGCTTCCCTTTAAGGAAGGGAGTATTTAAAAGAAGGAATTCTAGGAAATGTCACAGAAAAAGAAGAAGCAGAAAGTATGACCCTTTTACAGGTCAAAGCCTATACGTTGATGATGCTGTCCTTCTGTATTATAACATTGTATCGTTTTTACTGATCGAAGGTGTGATATTTACAGCACTTTTTAAATCTCAGTGATTCTTCCTTGATTTGTAACCCCCTTACTCATTCAAACTGGTATCTAAAGCCGCTCTACACACTGTCCTGCACTGTGGATTTTGATTTATCCTCAAGAGGTGTGTTTTCAGCTGCAGGTGATGGGGTTGCTGCCGGAGCCTCCACCAGCGGGACCTTCTCCTTCACCGGGGAGGCGGGCATCGTGGTGGCGGTGCTGGCGCTGGCAGGGTGGCCCTCAGGAGTGGAGAGGTTTGGAGGCGGACCGCCAAATTCGCGGGCGATTTCGTCGAAGGTCTTGCCCCTCGTCTCTGGGACTTTAATGAAGGTGAAGATGAAAAAGAGGATGAGGAAGCCGGTGAAAATGAGGAAGACCCAAGGCCCGCACCATTCCTAAATGGGGAGAAGAGAGGAGAGGCAGAGTTTTAGAGAAATACTGGATTCAAAATGTTAAATTCTCATGGTAATAGTGAGTATGATCTTTACAAATATTTTTAAAAAATAGAGAAGGAAAGAGCTAAATCCAAGAAAAAAGAGAAAAAGGATATTCTGAAGGACAAACAAAAACAAAAATAATCTATTTTGAAGATTTTATAAAATATGGAAGAGGAAAAAAGATAGAATAAACGAAAACAACAGCATAATAATAAACAAGTTAAGTAATTAATAAATAAGACAATGTAAAAGAAAACAGGGCTGTATTGATATCAGATATTCAATTCATATTTATTGTGGCCTAAATAAATCAAGATAACAATATTATCAAAGTATCTATAGAAATGATCTTAATAGCAATAATAAAGCTATCAGTCAAAATACATTTTAGCTTTGTTTATTGTGTATTTTTCTCTTTTTTGGCAAATCAATTACACTTAACATGCTTTGAAGATTACATTTTTTATACATCACAGTTATTGTCAATACTTATATCATGATAACCCTAGTTTAAAACAAAGCCAAACCAGTTCAAACTGGGTTGGCCGCCCCTCCCTTACCACTAGCTTGGGGAAGCTCATTCCAACCAGGAAGTTGGCCGTCCAGTTGCAGCAGCCGGCCACAGCCATGGCGGCGGGGCGGGGCCCCTGGGAGAACAGCTCGGCCACAATGAACCATGGGATTGGACCGGGGCCCAGCTCAAAGAATGCCACGAACATCATGACGGCCACGATGGCCATGTAGCTCATCACAGTATAGTGCTTCTACTCAGACAGAGGGAGAGGAAGGGAGGCAGGAAAACAATGACATACTATGAAGTAGTGATCATTAGGAAAAACAACTGAAATTGCTAGTAATTTTAAAGGCTATTTCTAAGCTTATATTTATGTCAAGTTAAGGAGTAATGTAATACAAATGGTATAGGATGTTTTTATGTATAATTCTGTTGGGTAGGAGCTGAAAAAGTGCGGAAAAAGGAATAAAAAAGGTTTATGCAAGTTCAAGGAATTATTTCAGAAAGGTGGCGATTTTATTTTTAAGGTGGACATAGTTTTATTTAGATTTATGTTAAGTTAAATAAATACTTAAATTCTATTTTAATGACCTTACCATGTGTTAAAAATAATCTTAAACGTAAGTTTTTCTTATTCTAAGAGATTTCTAGCTTTCAAAAAATATATAATTTGTACATAAACAGTATATATTTTTCAGTTTGGATCAACTGTGAGGTAACAACCTTTCCTTGCAGGGATTCATAGATTATTTGTGATTTTGATACCCCCCTGTGACGGTGCTGCACTCACCAGCAGGAGGGAGACGGTCATCAGTACGGCGCTGATTGCCATTCCAGCCAATCCCAGGAGGTGCAGAGTCCTCCGTCCCGCCTTCTCCACCAGGAAGAGCTGCAGGACACACACAGGAGGCAGTGATGTCTCTCTGAACACACACACTGACACATGCAGGGACATACACACTGAGTCTGTCACTCACAGAAACAACAGTGAAGATGGTGTTGACGATGCCGGCTCCGATGGTGGCGTAGATGGGCTGCTTCACACCTGCTGACTCAAAGATGCCTGTAGAGTAGTAGAACACCTAAGAGACACAGAGAAGAGTAGTTATTTACCATCGATGAACCTTTCCAATTACAGTCCAAGCTCAATCATATTATCACAATGCAAATAAGAATCCACACATTTTTCTTGCAGTAAGAACTTTAAGATAAAATAACTTTAAGTAAAACATGTTACAAAATGTTACACACAGTAATTGGTCAATGTTGCATCTTGTGCTCTAGTTTAGTTTTAAATGATGAAATGATCAAATCAGCATTCGAGTAAGGGGTGGGGTGGAATCCTCGTAAGTTAATTCAAAACAAAAGTCCTCGCCTGGTTAAAGATGATTCATGCTGGAAAATGTGTTTTGTAATCGTTAGAATTACTGCAGAAGTAGTGTAGGGACTGTTCTGATTTCATGCATATCATTTTATAACAATGTATATATTATTGGATTACAAATATTGATGTTTTAAAGTTTTCATTTCTTTAAGTGGAAGCTTGCAAAGGTGGTTCTGATTTGAGTAATTTAAGATCCTTAAGATATTAAAGGTTGAAGTAAAAGGTAGCAGAAAATGGCACTTAAAAATTGCACTTAAGTACATTAGTATAAATGCTTAAACGGTGATTTCTGTATTAAAATATAGATTTTGTTTAACTTATATGTACAGAAAGTAGTGTACAACTGGATTTGATTAAGTGAATTAAAAAGAAAAAAAATGATGACAGAACAATAAAATGTTGCCAGAGTGTAACATGGTGTATTTGTACACATGTGTGTGTGTGTGTGTGTGTGTGTGTGTGTGTGTGTGTGTGTGTGTGTGTGTGTGTGTGTGTGTGTGTGTGTGTGTGTGTGTGTCTCTCACAGCATTTATCCCTGACAGCTGCTGGGAGAGCTGCAGCATGATGGCGATGAGCAGCGGCTGGCGGTACGCTGCGGAGCGGAACAGCTCTGGGATGGTGACCTTCTTCTCCATGGCCATCTTGGCGCTCTCCTCCTTCATCTCCTGCATGTCTTTACTCACATCCTCACTGCCACGCAGACGCACCAGCGCTGTCAACACAATACAATCACAATGTGTCTTTGTCTTCCACATTAAGGATGAGAATATAAAAATGCTCTGTTCGCATGTGAGAATCTTCTGACAACCATGAAGGTCATTACATTGTATTTAAGTGTTTTCATACACAGCATATACTGTATATGTACTTCTAAACACTTCTACTGAACTACAATTCTGAGAGAAATATTGAACTTGTTACTTCACAGATTTGGATTAATAATACAAAATATAATTAATTAATTAATTAATCATAGAGCTACTTTAGCTTATTATTGTTATTAGTAAAGAGCTTATTATAGGTGAACTGACATTAGAGTATGTACAATAACCCCCTCTTTCCCCAGCTGCAACATTAACATTAAAGTGATAATAATGCATCATACGTAATTATAATATTATAATATAAGCAATTGGTTTAGTTGTTAGGAGAAACTTAAACAAGCTTATTTATCTTCACCGGGAGCTGAAAAACAAATTTGCTGCATTGAAACAACTGAAAGGTTGACTTTAAGGAAATGTATTATGTCAACAGATTTCAGAGTGGAACCTCGTGTTTGTTTGTGTTTGTGTCAGAGGAGAGGTGTGAAGAGGAAGGGTCAGCGCCTGAGAGACGACCCTGACAGCCTGCCGGTTGAACAGATGCCAAAACCTTCTGCCAAGAGTCCTTGAGCGACTCTTCTTCCTGCAGAATAAACATCGCCCAGACTCACCTCAATTCACCCCTGCCTGCAACTAATGCTATCTCTATATTGAACCGATCCTTCTGTCGTGCTTTTCTCACTTTTCTCAGCAGATTTTTTAACAAAGCTTTGAATGTCATCAACATTCTTTTTTAGATTTAATACATTTTCTCTAAAACTGTTTTAACAGTATTTTCAGTAGTTCCAGCAGTATCGGCAGTGGTGTATTTGTTAATATAGACATTGGCGTCATTTGTAAAAAAAGTGATATTGTAAGCTTTATCAGTATTAGTGCGTACCTTTGCGTGCCTGCTCCTCCTGTTTAAGGTTGATGAGCAGGAAGCGAGGGCTCTCAGGGCAGAAGGGCAGCAGGATGCACTGCAGTACAGCAGGGACCACAGTGAGGGACAGCAGCAGGGGCCAAAGCTTGGCTGAGCCCAGCAGACCCTCCAGCCCGAAGACCTAAACACCAAGGGGCACAAAAGCACGGTCAGAATTTCAGCATAGCTAAATAATCGATTAGCAGGCAACACTGTTAAACGTATTGACAAACACACATATCAGTTGCTTACATATTAAGATTTTAACTAAACAGCTTAAACTGTAGGCCATTCACTATTTAGATTTTGCGTATCTTGCCGGGTGTTGAGTATATCAGCTTTAAAGATGTCTGCCTTTTATCAAATATAAAGAAACTAGATGGCACTTGGCTTGTGATGCTCAAAGCACAAAAAGCATGCATTTGAAAAAACTCAACAGCAATGTTTCTTTCCAGAAATGGTGACTTGGTTACTCAAGATGATCCACGTACGTTGTTGTGGGCAGTTTCATATAGGAACTAGTTTTGTTCTACTAAACCAAACGTTCCAACCATATCACCGTGCAAAAGGATTTTCTTTTCTCAAATCTAATTTGAAAAGTATAGTTCCATTATATTCAGGAGAAGACAGACATTTCTACGGCCAATATTTCAACTACTACGGAACATCTCTTTAGGATTTTTAAATAGCCCTAAATGTAAAAGGAAAAATATGTCAATTAAGTGTTCCTATAAATGTGATGTATGTTAGGAAACCTCCTGCTGACCTGAGCGATGAGGATGCCCACTACCACACCGAGCTGGTGAAGAGTCCCGAAGGCCCCTCGTAGTGGAGTTGGTGACACCTCGCCCACGTACATGGGAGTCAGACCGGTAAAGAGCCCGCAGAACAGGCCGATGACCAGGCGACCGGCGATCACCATCTCATAGGAGGAGCAGATGGTGGAGAAGCCCATGAGGAGGCCGCCGATCACCGCTAGAATGTTCACCAGGAACATGGAGCGACGCCTGGGGAATAAGAGGAGGAGGAGAGAGAGCATTAGCTTTGTTTAGCTAACAGTTCTTCTAACAGCATGGCAATGTAAATGTTTGTAGCTTAGTGATTTGAATGACAATAGACTGGAAGGGAGGTTGTTGGTGGGGTGAGCAGAATCAGAATCAGAATACCTTTATTAGTCCCACAGAGAGGAAATTTGCGAAGTTACAGCCACAGACAGCTTAATGAAAAGTACTAAGTTATGATATTATACAAAATATAAAAAATATAATACAAAAAAAAAAAAGTTACATAATTGAGAGGTTTTTGGTTAAGGAAGATTGACAAGTTTATTGATTATCTGAGGGATTACCATAAGGGTGTCAGAGCTGATTGACCTGCACGAGGGTTTGTGAAGGTCAGATGCTCTCCCATCTAATTAGTTAATCGACTGATAGCTCTTGGTCCAAATTGCAGGTCAAACACATGTGGGTTTATTTGTGAATGACTTTGAGTGTCAAGATAAAAGATATCATGAAATCGCCGTTTTTTCTTGTGTTTTCTGTTAACCGACTTTATCGTAAATTGTGGTTTGAGTTTCGTTTTTGTTTATAGCTACACCATAGTAGCTAGTACTAGTTATACATACCTTAAATGTCTGGAATTAGGTTTATTTGCACCTTTTCGGATAAGAAGATGAAAACACCAATTGAAATTGCACGTCTGGTTTTAAGTGTGGAGCTAAAGTGAGAGGTGGCTAGCTTCTGCACAGAGGAACAGCTAGCATGAATCTCCAAGGTTAAACTAAAATATATATTTTTAAAAGCTTGCCAATTCATCAAAATCGTACTTATTAACACACTATGTTGCTTTTGTTTGGTCTCACACAAACAGAAACGAAGATACATGAACAGGCTAGGTTTAAGTATTTATGCTTAGCTAAGCTAATTGGAAGGAAGAGGATTTCCCTTTAAAGCTAAAGACTTATTTCTACAAATCATACCATTTTATTTGTGGAAACAACAGGCCAAATGAATACCACATGTAAACAAAATGTGTGGAAAACCCATTTATGGCAGTCATCAAAACAACAGTCTCACCATAGAAAGGCAATAGCATTGGGCTATGATGCTCAGGGTCAGATTCAGATGGATATTACGCAAAACTCTGGGGAACATTAGGGCCAAGCAGTGGGCTCAAAACAGACGCGCTTCATAAACTCCATTAGGACTAATGGCTTTTGACAGTACAGCTGAATCACACAGGAAATAAACAAAGCCATTAAAGGAAGATCAACACACCCAAAGTGTTCAAATTGTCATTGAATATGTATAAAACCCCTTAAAAATTACAATTTCTACCTGAGCATTACACTTACAATGTGACAAGAACAGGTTAAGTTTTTTCATTACCAAAGTGTTCACACAAGCTGCTTATATAGTTGAAAAGTCATTCCTACCTGCCAAACCGGTTCGCCATGACGCCCACGCTGAAGGAGCCCATCATACCGCCCACACTGAAGATGGCGACGGAGACACTCCAGACGATGGTACAGACCCCGGGGGTGATGGGCTCGCCATAACGCTCGACCCAGGTATCGTTGAAGAAAGATCGTAGTTTCTGATGGCAGGGATGGAGTAATTAATTGAAAAATATTGGATGTATTTAAGGAAAGATACACACCAAGGTTGCCAGAGGTCGATTAGCATAGTTTAGCATGAAAGCAATAAGAAAACGGCTAGCCTGTCTATTAAGCTTACAAACATACATACTCAATAGACAGATATGATGAAACATTTTCAAAATGTATCCACTTATTTCTAGGAGCAACTCAACTTTCAAACTAGCAAACAAAGTAACAAAGTGGTGTACTGGTAGTTCTGAAAATCTTCATCTTTACCCTTGTATTTGTTCTCTAATAATCAATTTTTCAATTATCCCTTTGGTTTGCTACAGTATAGTGTCAAGAACCAGACACTAGCTGGGTTGTTGAACTCCAGAGTTTTGGAACATAAAATCACATGATTAGCAGAAAATTAGCTTTACAAATGGTTCCCATCTGGGGAAGCTGATGTGCTACTGTAACTGTGTGCAGCTTCACACAGGGAGTCTGAGATCTTGGCAACAAACACACCCTGATGTCACCATTTAATCACCAACCTGCTCTGGAGCATTGATGACTCCTGTGTTGTAACCAAACTGCAGAGAGCCGATGACAGCGGTGCCGAGAGAGAACAGGAGGTAACCTGTGACTTGCTTTTCTTTCTGTGAGGAAGAAGAGGGAGAACAGGAGGAGAAAATGTCGGGAAGAAGAGGAAAAGAAGAAGGTATGAGAAAGGAAACATAAAATGGTGACAGATGTGGAAAAAAGAGGTAGGGTGAAGGAAGGAGACAAAAGCAAAGACATAATAAATGATGTCAGCCGAGATTATAATGACATTTTCCTATAATTGCAGCTGGTATACAGATGCAGTAAAGTGGTGGTGCTGATGGCAGGCAGGTCAGTGACGCACCAACAATAATATCAGGTATCAGTAAGCTCTAGCTCATAGTGCCCATAAACACACCACACATGCAGCCACACAAGATTACTCATCACATTTGTACTGCATTCACTATGACACACCGGGTCTTAGTGTAATTCCTGTAAACATTAGTGTACTTCAAGAAAATGTATTTAAAAACCTAAAAATAATACCTAAAACGTACTAAACGTGTTATATATGATGTTATAATGGTTTATTGTGGCCTACACAGTAACTGTGATCAATTGTTTTTATGAGTTTCTTCAACATGATTGGCTAAATGAAGATCAAATTCAATATTGAAGCCGTCCATCTGCTCCTGTGTGAGCTCCCATAATGCCATCGATTAATCTCAGTAATGAAATCAGGGTGAGTATTAAAGGAGCCGTCACTGGCGTCATGACAATAGAAACGTCCGAGGCACGATGCATTCATGAAGGAAATAACAATTAATTAATTAGCAGCGTCACATTAGAGACCATCATAAAATCATGTCTATTCGAAAATGTTTTTCAATACTCCTCCAATAGAGTGTGCATTTTCCTAATTGTCATTTACGATTAAGTATCAATAATAAAATCAATGTCAATGTTGTTGCTACCAGCAGGATTACAGAAAAAACTATATTTCATGATATTAAGTTGAAGGGTAAGGCATGTGCAACGGAAGAACCCTTTCCATTTTGGAGCAGATCAGAATCAAGGGGCAGATACAGGCATTTTTTACTCGAATCAGCCTTGACAAAGATTTGTGTTTCCAAGGGCACTTAATTTACTACTTAAGGTAGTAAAACAATCCATGTTCCATCTACAGGGTCACTTAAGGCATCGCAATAACATAAATCTTCACTTTTGGTTCAGCACTTTTTCTAATGTCGTTACTGGACAGCAAATAGAGGTCAAAAAAGGTCAAAGCTTATAAACGCTTCATGATTGATCCCACATATGAAATTCCGGGGAGGTTAAGCTGGATCTCAGCATTGGAAATAACTCCATTGTGTCTTTGTTTCTGCTGATGTCTGTTACAAAGCAGTCAGTACATAAAGAGACTCGCTGCTGACGGGGCAGAATGTGCCGCTGTTATATGAGACAGCGTAGAGACCTGGAGACCTCAGGTGATACACCGCCCTTGGTACAAAATAATCGGAGCGAGGTCACATAATATTAGCATAGACTGCACTTCTCAAGATTCACTGTAGCCAGATGGGTGTTGGCCACACTGGACCAATCAGAGAAAGAGAGAGAAATATGTATGGGAATGTATCTGAAGGTCAAAGTGGAACGATTAAAAAGAGCAATTTGACATTATGCGCATTCACACCGCAGTACTTTTCCCACTTTAGTTCCGATATAGTTCTGAAATGTTGCGTTCACACCAAAAAAATCCGGAACAAACATTTGTTCATGAGAACCTTTTTACCCCCTTTTCCGTCCCTGCTAGAGAGCAAGGACTTTCGTGGGAGAAAAAGGTTCCTATGTCTGATTGGCTGGGCGTAATGCAAACCACGCCCCATAAAACTCAAAAAAAGTTTTGTGAAGCCGCCATTTTATTATCCTGGCACAATGCACAACTCATCTTTTAAAATAACTAAAATGTTAACATTAAAACAATACTTCATTCACAAATCCCAGGCCAGTGTGTAGGAAAAAAATCATATTTGCCTGCCCCTCACATTCAAAACCTGAATAATTAAACAAATTAAATGGTCTAATAATACGCCAGCTTTTCCAAAAAGTGTGCTAGTCTGGAAAATGCCTGTGTCGATCTAAACGCACACTGAAATGCCAACTTCCTGATTTTGTAATTGGAATTCCACAGAAGACATGATAGCATTAGCCCAGCGCACAAACGCAGAGATACTAACTTATGGCAACACAAAAGAAAACATAGGAGCGGTGGAGATGAGGAGGTGTCGGCGTTCAGTAGAAGCTGCTGGGACTCCCAGCAGCTTCTACTGAAGCCAGTCCCTAACTCCGGGGAACTTCACGTCGTATACTGCCACCCGAAGTCCCTAACTTCACGGTGAAGTTGTTTGCGGCCAGCCAGTAAACCCAAAGCAGAAGAAGAAGTGACGTCAGCGGCTTAATTTGCCTAATCCTCCCTCAGGGACTTATTCCGGTGTGAACGTGATCTGTACTTAGTTCATGAGAACTAAAGAGTTCTCATGAACTAAGTTCTCATGAACCTTTGTGGGAAAAGTATTGCGGTGTGAAAGCGCCTATTGGCATATTTCAGATTTCAGATTCATTTTCTTTATACAGTAAACATCTAAGAAACTTTGTTTAAGCCTTGTATTAAAACAACGAGCCATTAGATGAATGATGACACCTTTAGGTAATGGATGGATGACGTAGAAGGGGAAAAACATGTTTCTTAGCGTTTACGTAAATCGGAACATTGAAGTCTTATATAGTAGAAAATGATAGTTCTTACTGTATGAAGTGAAGTGAGAGGCGTGGTGCTCACTGAATATTGCATGCTCATAAAACCTTCAAGAGTACATTAAAGCAAACATCCACCCAGTCCTGCATTTGGCTGTACCCAATTGAGTGAATCATTGATTTACTCAGTCAAATCAAGAGTTTTTTAGGAAATTAAATCTACCCTTTGGCCAAAAAGCTTTTTCACTGTGTTGTTGCCTTCCTTGGTTTGCAGACGTTCCCTGAAGATTTAGGTGACATTCATGAGCAAACAATAAATCTTGTGAGCCTTCAATGACTCAAAGCTCTTGATGTATCTGGGTGTGTCAGCACTTATGTGGATTAGTCTGCTCATATTTCGTATCTCAGTATCAATGAGACCAAATAGAAACGTTTGTCTTTAAAATGTGTATATTTTATTTCATAGGTTAATTGATAATAATGTTAATGAATCATCACATACTGGCTCTGAACTGATCTACTGTTCCTTCAAATAAGTCATAGGAAGAACACAACATCGTTTTTGATTTTTTAAATTGTTGTATGGATCCATATATATAAGTTATATAAGACATGTGCTTGCGGCTGTTGTAATCATGTAAATATCCCCTGTTGCGGACAAATAAAGAATTTGTGATTCTGATATTCCACTCCCTTTATTTTACATTTGCTGTACTCATGGTAATGCACAACTCATCTTTTAAAATAACTAAAATGTTAATATTAAAACAATACTTCATTCACAAATCCCAGGCCAGTGTGTAGAAAACAATCATATTTGCCTGCCCCTCACATTCAAAACATGAATAATTAAACTAATTAAATGGTCTAATAATACGCCATCTTTTCCAAAAAGGACAGGCCTGTGTCGTTCTAAACCAGGGGTGGGGAACCTTTTTCCTCTCAAGGGCCATTTCAATTTTGACAACATCCTTCGAGGGCCGTACAAATTATTGAACTCAACGTCTGCTTAAAAAACTCAAATCACAGCCCATTCATTTCGCATTTCTTTCATGCTGTGCAAAGAAAAAGCAACCTCTTAATCCAGATATTTGACCATGACCCGCGCATTCATGCATTGGGCATGACCACCAAAACAGAAAGATATGGACACAAGATGTGTGCAAATGTATTTAGTTTCATATCCATGTGGACATGATTTAAGTGGGGGGGGGCGGATCTAACCTCATCTAGTGGCTGCACCCCAGGAAGATTTTTTTTAAATGTTGAAGTTAAAAGCATCAATCTGGTGCACTTTGAGAGCAACATGAAGAGATCTATGGATACTCTCTCAACACCCATATGAAACAGAACTGTAAGCAGATTTCTTTCTTTATGGATATTTTACAAATCACTTCCCTTTTAAACTGTATTCTTGTTTATTAATAACAACTTTTTTTTACTGTCATATTAGTATTGTATACCTGTTTACTTTATTCTCTTATTTTTCTATAACTATAATGATCATATAAAGATGTGCCTTTACCTCACTGGTTGGAGAAAAAGCTTCTTATATTCGTTAGCATAGCTAGCTAACCAGAAGCTAATAACAACAACGTTATTGACTGTATGATCAGTTTGACAGATGAACAGATCGCAACTGGGCTTTCAACTAAAGACACAGCCACGCAAAAACTGCGGCATGTGTACGGCTCCTTATGGGTATTGCAATTTGTGAAGTCCCGGCCCGGAGCCGCGTTCTGGTGCTCTCCGTCAGAACGAGACATATACCACGTGATGACACGTTAGGCTCGTGTTGTGTTCAAGGACCCTGACCTTGGCCAGGAAAAACAAGCTTGTTTAATTATTTTGCGGTCTAGATTTCTTGAATTTTTTTCTTTTTTGCGTGTGTTTATAAATTACCTCGAGGGCCGTACCAAATAGTCTCGCGGGCCGTATACGGCCCGGAGGCCGGAGGTTCCCCACCCCTGTTCTAAACGCACACTGAAATGGCAACTTCCTGATTTTGGAATTGGAATTCCTACCAGAGCCACAGAAGACATAAAACATCTTCTTCAGTAGAGTTGTTTTCCTCATGATGAATACAACCTGTGGATTGTACCTTTCACTGTGAGGCTGAATGAATGAAAGCCAATAACAAAGAGGTGGCATTAGGGTAGAGAAATTGGTGTCCAATACTAAACTATGAAATTGTATTTGTACATGTGATGAATTTAAAATGTTTCACTGAGACACTTTGCACTGATTCTTCACCCTCCATCCAAAAACTCATCAACATCACTCAAGTTAAAAGTGAATTAAAGGAGACAGCAAGGAAAAAGCTCCCAGCGTGTCACCAGATACACACACACACACACACACACACACACACACACACACACACACACACACACACACACACACACACACACACACACACACACCCTTATTGACTGTGTCAGTAACTTTTATTTGTCAAGTCACAGTGACTCAGTAGAAAGTCACATGACTGGCACCCAAAACATCTGAGATAATGTTCCACAAAAAGAGTGGAAATGGTGCAATGCAGTTATAAAATAATATTTTGTCTACAGCTAAAATCCTCTTTAATCTTCAAAATCAAAATTCATTATTTTTCTTCCTTGTCAATGTTCAGCTTAATCTGTCTTCTTTGATTTGGATTTCCACATGTTATTATCATTGCTCCAAACATGACAAATATGAAATGTTTAAGGGAGAGCAGGAACACCATTTAAATCTAACAGGATTGCTAGCTGATATTGTTCTACATTGGTCTGTATTAATCTCCAGACAAACTTCTGTGTTAGCAGCCTGTTGCAGCACCCACAGATGCTGCGTTACTATAGTAACCAGTGCCATGATGACAGAATGAGACCACACGATCCAACCTGCTCGTGTGAGGCCTATAAATGTATGTTTGTGTGCAAATAGAAAACATTTTAAAACAACCACAACCCTAAAGTTGTCTCAAGTACAACAAAAAAAACGTAATATAAATATAGAAAAATATATATATTATATAGATATATTAGCTTCTTTCTCCTTGCCTCCATTAAGATCTCTCTGTCTTTGTTTTCCCTCAATGTCCATATCGCTCCCTACCCCCCTCTTGTCCTTTCTTCATTTCCATAGCAACAGCCGAGAGGTGAAATTATTATTGACACAGGCTGAAGGTAACCAAGGCACCGAAGGCGCTCGTGCACAATGGCAATCTCATAAACCAAAGTAACACTAGTGGGCTGCAATAATGCATGTGGAAACACACAAACACACACTGACCTACATCCAGACAGCCCCGTTTGAACTCAACTTTGCAGTGAAACCAGGAGGAAGGGTGAATGTATCGAGCTGTTTTGATGGGATGATTCAAAAACGTTTCAATCGGGATTTTAGCATGAGGGTCGTGTATGGATGAGCTCCTCAATGTTTGACACGAGGGATAAGAGCGGGATGCCGAGTCAGAGCATGACACGGGAATATACACACGCACACACAAATCCAATGGCATACATTTGTGCAACTATATTAGACTATTTTCAGAGGAACGTCAAAGGTTATGTGTGCGATTTAGCATTAGCCGTTGCTTCTGTGGAACACTATGCTCCTGATTTTTTGACAGACTCAACCTGACTTTCACAGCATTTTCACCATCACTTCTACGTTACATTTGATGTTAAAAAAAAGTTTAAATGTTTGCTTAACTTATCAAATATTGTGTGAATTTGTACGACCCAAGAATTGACAAACAGCGTTAATTTATCAGTCAATCTAATAGCACACTTCTCTGCACAGGGCCTCATACACTTCTTTGTTATACTTGATCGACATTTTATCAGGTAATCATGCTGAGATCAAGATATCTTTTTCAAGGTGAAATGCGTACAGCTGGGAGAAGCAAATAAACAAAAAGCAGGATGGAATGAATACGTTCAATAAACAAAACTAATCACAGGCATCTATCACAAAAGCACACGCAGCATTCACGGAGATCAATTCAGGTTTGACCTTTCTTATCTACTTCTACCTCTAAATGGATATTTCTACAGCTCCTTTTCAGCCAGCCCCAGAGGAACATAATGCGTGTGTCTGTGTACGAGTATAAGAATAGTAACTGGTTTGTTTTCAGTAGTGAGTTGCGTCTTGGTGCTGCATTGCATTCTGCTCTATTTGCTACTTCTTCTGCAGTTCTAGAAACAGCAGTCTAGGCCTTTCCAATAATGTATACTATCATCCAAATGTTTATGTGATGTTTAGCATTGTAAAAACGATTATATCATCTAGAAATGTGAGTTTTAAACTTCCATTGTTACATATAAACTTGATCCGTGATTTATTGATCAGATAATGAAAATATTCTTAATCTCAAACATAGCCTGAATCTGAACCCCAAACAAAGAAAATGAAATGACTTTCCTCTTTTGCCTCTTGCATGCAGATAAAAACATACATAGGTTACATACCTATGTTGTTTCTCACACTATACTGAACATATACAGTACATAGACACACATTATAAAAAAGGCAGGCATGCGTACTAAAATCACAAACGTACAGCCTTAGATGTGTCTCTTATACACACTTAACACAACTCTGCAGTGCTCCTGGTGACTCACAGTTATTGTAGCATACATATGGCTCACACCGCCCACACTGATCTGATTAGACACTCACTTTATATAGAAACACTCCTCACACGTGCATTATTCACAAATCACAAGTCTTTGTACAGACAGACAGGAGTTGCAGTTAAAATACTTATTTTTTTAATGGAGACATTTTTTAAAGGACAAAAAATGGAGACATACAAATGTACCCTGGAAAAAGATCCCCTCCTGTTTGTGAGTCTCAAGTATGAAGAAAGAAAAACACTTGCCTGCCCCTCCATCTTCTGATTGTAGCTAGATGATCACCGAGAATGTGTTTTACTCCAACTGAAGGATGCAGAGATCTTCAGGTGGTGGTTATAGCTGCGCAGGACCCGCCCGCCGGAGCTGTCAGCTGCAGGAAAAGAAACACGCCTCGTTAGGCGCTGTCCGTGGTACCAACCGGCTCTGGCAGGCAGGACACGACCGCTTTCCCATCAGGGAACCACACACTAATAATCAATAACTTCCATTTTGTACAGGGCACATTTCAAGCTATAAAGGACAGGAAATAGAGGGGGATGAAAACGAACCTCTACTTGAAAATATTTGGTACATTCTTTACACACAAAAGAACCCCAGATCCCGGACGAAACGGATACAAAGGGATATTAAAGTGACACTCACCTCTCGTGACTAGCAGACAAAGATACCCTCGCTGGGCTGCAGCAGTGCCTCCCTCTTTTTAGAATTCGTCTCACACGGTGGGCTGCGAGGATAACCGCACGTAACCGCACGCAATTGTTTTCATTATATATTTTCGTTTACTCAATCAACCTATGAAAAACTGGAATGCTGGGATGCCGTGACGTTGCCCCGCCCCTCCGCTTTTACGTTCAGAAATCCGTGCATCATCGCCGCATCCCGTGAGTCCAATGTCCTATTATGGTGGCTGCCTTTATTCGGTTACTTGGTCAGCTTAGTTGACGAAAGCCTGGGCGCATGCGTGGTATAGGGTCTCCCGAGGGTCGTGAGGGGATAATTGTGGCCCCCCTCTCTCCCTTTCTTTCCACGTGCTCTGGTGTCCTCCTTTCCTTCCCATGATGCATCTCGCCGGCGACCTTGACAGTAGCTCCTGGGCGATGCTGACGCTGCGGATGCTGATGCAACGCGGCCCGTTACTGAGGCAACGGGTCATGCGGTACAGCTTAGATGATGCTCCAGGTGTAGGAATAATTACATTTTAAAAAACATTTAATTTTACAGTGTCTGCAGACAGTTTGAGAGCAGCCAGCAGACAGGGCACATATCCAAAACAATGCGAAATATAAACGGATATATCCAATAATGCACACTGCAGTTTCACTGGTCCCATGATTTGCTCGTGACACAGAAAGTCAGCTGATGTTGCATCATGGAGGTTTGTATAACATGATGTTGCAATTAATGTGGCATATTTCAGTCTTTTCAGAATGAGTTTGGAAAATTCGGTACCTCATTATTTATACTGAACAGTTTCTAAACTATATTTTCTAGTTTCTTTTTCTTTTCTTTTTCCTTTCTACTTTTTTGATTTTTACACTCCTGATTAGATCCTTAACTGCATTGTAACTTCATTAACCCTGTGGGTAATGTCCACAGTAATGACTCTTACATGTCTAATATGTGTAATGTGTAATTGTAAAGCGCTTTGAGCACCTGCAAAAGCTCTATAATAAAAAATGTGATGCATTATTATTATTTTGTCATCTAATTATGATTACTGTCATCACTTGAAAGTGGTCTAAATCTTTGAGGTTTGAAATATTCAACATTTTCTATATATTATTTTATTATCTCTTTACACCAAACTCAATGTTTACTTTCATAATATTGCCATGATGTTTCTCCATATTGTGACTTTCAATCTTTAAAAAAGGAATGTTGTCAACTTAATTACATTATTATAAAATAAAGAGACCAAGGATTTAGGGGTTCGTGTATGGCCCTCTGATGGAAGGATATGTTTGCCGTCTTCCATCTTCTTATTTGTGGCAAAACGTGTCCAAATGTAATCCTCCGTTTCTTTCCTACTTTCCTTGGCAAATTGATTATATACATTTCCACATTAACATCGAATAAACGGAACCAAGAAACAAGACAAAAAAAGGGAAAAACACATTTCTGTTCGTCCTTACCTGTCCATCTGGCTGTTATCTCTCTTATATTTCAAAAATATCTTGTTTTTTTTCACCAGAGGGAATATAAGTGGTTTCAAAGACAACGTTGTTATTTAATATCTGACAATTTAAATGTACTGTGGAGACAATGGGACCTATTGCTGTAAATGTTACACAGCTCTCACCTTTCAACATAAAACACATCCTGAAGAGACATCTATTATTTTAAAATGAGCTCACATATTCAAGGCTCGAAATTCCGTAGTTTTGGTATAACATGGATGATGAAATGAAGCAGGACAGCAAGGTTCACAGTAACATTATATCATTTATTTAGTCACTTCTGTACAGAAAGAGCATTTAAGCGTTTTCACATTAAGATACTTGGATGAAGACAGAGGATTGTTCAGATCTTTCCAGCAAAACTTCCCGCCTCCAACTGATCGTCCCATTTCGTAACCTGCAGCATAGAGTAAGAGAAAAGCTCAAAATAGAGAAAGCACTAAGATTTTATGTTTATGGTGAACATGGGAACTTATTCCTGACATTAAGAACAGTTTCAAACGCACCCAGCTCACGGGGCAGAGGCTCATGTAGACCCTCTGGTACCAGTCGCAGGGAGCCGTGTCCTGGTCTTTGGCGGACAGAGCTTTGTTACATCTGTGGAAATCTGAGGAGAACAGAGAAGAAGAAAATCAAATCAGGAAATAAACACCCTGACATTGCTGCTACTTCGGGTGAGCCATTCATCTGCCAGTTTTTTTTTAATCAAAAGAATAAAACACATTTTTGATAGGAAATTCTATTCAAATTAACAACATATTGCGGTTGTATTATTATAATTCCTTTAAGTCTCAATGTTTGCGTAGTTCAGTTTCACAATAAATTCACAAAACAGCGTCTACAGGTACTTTTCATCTGAAAATCAGCATGGGATGAGTCCTAAAGATGAACAAACATCTCAATTGTTAAAGAGCTTTGAAAGAGAACTGTGAGAAGAATCTAAATGAAGATACAAATGATATTTGAGGTGGTCTGAGACAGAGATAAAAGTGTAGCACCTCTTTAGTTTGCTGCTACATCAACAGAGGGTTAGTTTTTCCGCAGATTAAAACATTAAACTCACCTTTAAAAAGCAGGAACTGTTAAATGTATTCAGTGTTGTTCTTGTTTTTTATGCAAAGTCCAAGCAGCTGCAGTGGGCTATACGTGTCTTATCCTCAACACATCACTTCAAAATAAGATATTTTGGCAGAAAGAAAGATACACACCAATATATGACAACGTATACAAATGATTGTAATAACCCAATACATCTTAGGACAAAATAAAAAATATCTAACATGTACTGAATTGTTATGTTTATGCATGGTTTTTGTTGTTGTTTTGTTGTTTCCTGTTTGTTACTTTTACCCCTCACTGTCTCACTTCTCTGCAGGGCTGGTGTGTGACAGGGGGCGTGGCTGGTATTCTCCTGGCTGCAGATGAGGCACACCTGTTCCCACTCACCTAATCAACCTGCTCTTTAAGAGCCTGGCCCTCACCTCACTTCTCTGCCAGAGAATTAAATGCTGTTCGACGATCCAGAGTGCCTTTCTGCAGCCTTGAGGTTAGTTTTGTTCACTTTTCTGTTTTTGAGCAACTTTTTGAGTTTTTGCCTGGGATGTTTTCCCTCTGCTTTGTTTTTGGACCTTTCTGCAGCCAGCCAGCTCCCTGTCTTCAGTACCTGCCTTGGACTAGCTTTCTTTATTAAACACATTGAAACTTTATTTGTGTCAGTCTCTGTTTTGGGGTCCTAAGTAGTATCCAAACGCCACACTGAATATTGGAAATACTTAGTAAATGTGACCTAAAAAGCCTTTAGGTGAAAAGATAAGGGATTACAATTGATGAATAAAGTAAACAATGTCAGAAAGTTAGAAATCTGAGTTTATATCCACACATTTATCAAACAATACGGTGAGGTTGAGGATAAGGACATACATTCACATAAAACCTTACAGCCGAGCTAAATAAAAACATAGGAAGATTTGATCTGTGTCCATGTTTACATGGTTTGGTTTAAGGTTTGAGCTGGATTTAGCATGAGACAAAACAAAGGAACTCCCCAGTATGTGTGTGATAAGGAAACGTGAATATACAGTTTACATCAGTAGGTTTGAAAAACTACAGCCTGAGGGATAACATCAATCTTTAGCAGCATTGATAGGGTACAGTCATTATGAACTAGATGTAGGGATGTGAAGTAAATGCATTATCTTATTTACCCAGATAGTTTTGGTAACAGTTGCGGGTCTGGTTAGTGTTGGGGAAGCGGGCGTCGAAAGGAGCCGTCCTGTAGTTCTTAATCTTCTCATCGATGGTGTCAGACATCTTCAGGCTGCTGGATCTCTGCAGAGGACCAACAGGATGTGACACAAGACTGAAACCACATTCACTGGACACAATAAGAAAAACAGTGGACCACATTGAGTAGACATAGCAGAAAGACAGTGGGTCTGCTGCATAGGCATTTTATCCTCACAACACACTGTGCAGGGCAGTGGATAGCACTCCGCACAAAAGGGTACATTTGCTAATGTTATGCTTGTATTGGTATCTGTTTTGGAAGCCGAATTAAACAGACGACCCTAATGACTAGTTAGAAACCTTCAGTTGTGCTCTACGTGGTATGTTTGTATCACTAACGATAGAAATCATCTAATTCACATTTATTCAAAAGGAGTTTGGTATCACTTGTGCATGATACAACAGTGAATCATTGTTTGGCTAGTGTTATAGCCACCGGTCAGCATTTATTCAGGGAATGTATAAGCTAACAATTAGCTTTTTTAAGGGAAGTATAACAATAATGCAGGTAATACATCAATTACATTTAAAATACAAACAATATTTACAATAATAAGACTGTTTGCTGACGTTAACCTTTGGAGATAAATATAGATACATTAACGATAAGCCTGGTCAGGTGTTACTATGGACGCTATTCACATCTCCGCCAGTTGCTCGGACAAACACATAAATGACAAAGAAAAATTACTTAAAATGCAATTATTAACAACGTACTAGTGAGGCAAAAAGCAAGTTATTTATATGAAATGCAGTGTACCTTTCAAAGAGAAATTCCGCTATAATCGCTGTGTCCTTAGGTCTGAAGCATAAAGGTCTGAAGGGATGATCACTCGCAGTGCATGCTGGGAAACAGAAATGACGCTTCAAGTGTGTTTAAAAAGAGCAACGCCGCCATCTTGTGGACACAGTGAGGAAGTACAACTGCACTCTGGAAACAGCAGCAAAGCATGACAGATTATACCTGCAGTTAATGATGGCCATTATGATGTTTGAAATGATGAATGTAGCATAATTGTAACACAAAATGGTTATACACACATTCAAATGCAGCATAAAATGGTGTGAGGCATACATAAAACTTCATGTGCTTAAATATTGAACATTATATTTTATTTTTCTCTGGCTTTACAGACATAGCCTACATACACTTTATACACAATTAACCTATAAGACATATAATTTTTTAACATCCTCTGCCATGAGCACAAATACCTTAAATAGAAAAAGTGGTCAAAAGGGTTAATAATAATAACTAATAAACATCTAAAATAAACATCATAAAAACAGCAGAAGACACGAACATTACAGTAACGATTTTATTCAAAACTTATCTTATGATACATAACAGGACAGAAATTATTTATCTTGCATTTTGGGGAGATTTCTTACCAGCATTAATGTTACTGTGTATTAAAGAAAAGTGTGATTTAAGTTAGACATGTTTTTATTGAGTTATATGTTCTAATAATAATAATCACCATCAACATGGTCTTTTCTTGTCTTGTCTTGTCTTCTCCTCTCCTCTCCTCTCCTCTCCTCTCACTGTAGAGTAGCTTGTCTCCTCTCACAGACCCTCCTCAGTAGGTTGGAGCACCTGTGGGTGAACCAGCTCTTCCTGTAGTCGTCTCTCGGGGTGAGGCGTCCACACAGCTCTTTGCTGTCTGCGTTATCGGGCTCACGCTCCCAAAACCTGCAGGGAGAAGCAGAGGGGGGAAAAAAATCACAAAAACAGTCTTTACTCTGTTACCATGGCAACCATTACTCCTCCATAAGAAAATGTGTCATAAAATGAATACAACCACCCACTGTCTTTATTAGGGGAAATCTGATCACACATATGCAAAATGAGAAAATACTTGTATAACTCTGATCAGAATTCATAATTAATATCGAAGAGTAAGTTAAAAAATCTTCAAACTACCTTTTACATTTCAAACAGTATACTACATATAACAATATATACAACATAACACCAAATCAAACAATCTTTACAAAAATAAATTATGTTTTGTTGTTACATTTTCTGTTTAAATGTATTTCCTAACACATATTCTATGCTTTTTCTTCCTATTTAGACCCCTTATTGTCTATTTTATTGTGCAATTTACTATTTACATCTTGTTTGTAACTACATTTTTTCAGTGTTTTTATTAAAAAGTGGAAATTACTAGGAACGTTTTTCATACAGGCCTGAGCAAACTGAATGAAGTTCATTTTTTTGTACATATTTCTATGTATTTCAATCAGGAAATGTTAAACAACTTTACATGGAATCACTTGTGTGTCCTTATTGGTGAACCATCAACTTGTGACCAAACTCTTGAGTTACAGGAATAGAGATCAGGGTGGGGCAGGGTGTCCCTTAACCTCAGGAGCCCCGTCTGTCCCCGGTCAACCCCCCTCCTCTTCCTGTCTGCCATCACTCACACTGCTCCCTTCTCCACCCGGGAGCCATCACTCCACTGCCAGCCCCCGTCACCACTTCCCCCCCTGAGGCCCAGCCAGTACGAGTCTCCCTGGCTCAGACTCTGGGCCTTCCCCCACAGAAACACCTGAGAAACATGTCAGGAAATGTCATCCATTTGTCAGGAAAGGTTTCAATGTATCACCCCTTTTCTACAAACATAATTTCACCACCCTTATTGGGAACAACATCAAGGACATAAACTGTGTTACATAAACAGTGAAAGACAAAACTTGAGACGACCTTAAGCTGCGACGTCTCCATATTTCACAGCAGTCTTAAATCTATTCTTAACTTCTCTCCCTGATGGTGTGTGAAATGTGTGTCCTTACAGCTAAAATTTCAAGGAAAGCATCTCAAATGTTTACAAGTGGATACACGCAGAATATATCATCGATGAAATTCCAGGAAAGACACATACATACTAAGAATAGAAGGCTGTTTGCAGTAAAACCCATTATTATAATTCACTGAATTGATTGAATATGTATTTGGAAGCAATCAGAGTAGGTTCAATGATTCAGGAATTAGAAAATGATTGGACAGTAGGTGTGTGTGTGTGTGTGTGTGTGTGTGTGTGTGTGTGTGTGTGTGTGTGTGTGTGTGTGTGTGTGTGTGTGTGTGTGTGTGTGTGTGTGTGTGTGTGTGTGTGCACCTGCTCCTCCTCTGTCTGCACTGTGGCCACAGCTCCCCCCAGTGCCATGCAGCGGTACTGGCTGCTGATCCAGTCAGCTCTGTCCTGACTGAACAGGAAACATTTTTCTCCATTAGGCGTCCAGCCGGCTGGACATGGTGTGCACACTGTCTCTGGGTGAAAAAGCAAGAAGAAACAATAACAAGAATTAAAAAAACTTCAGCATGTGTTTACATTTTCAAGCTCAAAATGGCCCTTTGACAACAGAAATGACAATATGAAAAAAGAAACACATTTTAAGAACAGAACATAGAAAAATACAGTAGATGCTGAACTATTTCGGTATAATAAAGAAAAGAGACCATTCAAAATAGTACAAATTAGAAAGTATGTTAAAACAAAAGTGTTTCAGCTGAGAGAAATATGCTGACAGAACCCACATCTCTTATAGCTCTGGTACATTTAAATTTAAATGTGTAAACATTTTATCTAATACATCAAAAAAGTACTACCATGTTATGCAGTTTTGTAATAATCATGCAAATGGTTGTTTTAGGGGGAGAAACCAGGTGAATAGAATAACTATTTTAATAATACAGTATCACCATGAATTCTTATAGCTGATGACTTATTACTAATATTAAATATGCAAATTATTTAACTCTGGTGAAGTTAAGAGACATATAGAGACGCAAATAGACAAAGTTAATACAATAAATACTTAATGGCGTGTGTTGGTACTCATGTTAATTAATATAATACATAATAGAGTCAAAATCAACCCTGGTTCTGGATTAAATAAGGAAATTCTATCATTTCCGTGATTGACTGCCTAATTTATGGATTTTTAACAAAGCGACAACATTGAATATTTGACAAAATGCATTCTTTAGTTCGAAACCTGACCATACCATTTCAATTTGTCTAAACTTAACTGTTACCCTAACCCGTAAATATTATAAACCTTAAATTTGTCTTTACTTTCTAAAGATGTCCTCACTCTCCTACCCTGACCCTGGAGTCACACACACACACACACACACACACACACACACACACACACACACACACACACACACACACCACACACACACACACACACACACACACACACACACACACACACACACACACACACTCTGCTTTACCCCCGGTGCTGGAGTTGCTGACTGAGCAGTACTGGTTCAGAGCGGGATACTGGGAGAACAGGAGGCGATAGGACTGGTTCAGCTCCTCCAGTCTGTGCGTCAAATATTTCAGTTTGTTTTCCTGCAGGGCCGACTGTGACTGGAAGGTGAAGGTGATCTGAACCACTGCGATGCGATACCACACACACACACACACACACACACACACACACACACACACACACACACACACACACACACACACACACACACACACACACACCAGAAAGACAGAAAATTACTTAGGTTACACAATGTCCCACCACCTGTTTCCATGGATACAGGGTAGTAAAGGATGTGTCTGAGAGGAAATAAAGCTGACTGACGGAGGTAAAATTAAATAAAGCACCATTCAGAAGAATCATAAAGAGTCGATCCGCTCAAACCTTCAAAACGAAGACATTCAGTCTACATTTATGACAAAATGACATCTGCTGGCACAACAGTAAAGAATGTTCTGGACTCCTTCAAAGCAAAGATGAAGACATTATCAGGTCATGGCTGCTGTTATAGTTTAGCGTATAAAATATATCCAACATTGTCAAGACAAAAAAATGAGACAAGGCAGAGGACAAGCCTTGAACAAGATCAATTCATTTCACATACATGCTTAGACACCACAGGGTCTAAAAACAAAGGCGGTTGCAAACATACAGTACTGTAACCAACTGAGACAAATGTGTCATTTGGGCTATATAGATAACACTGGATGAATTTGATTAATATGACAAATTAACATAAGTTATAGAAATTGTGCCTACTCATGGGGTCAGCATTAAAAGTCAAACTGTGATGAAATACTCACAGCTGAGAGTCAGCAGGAGAGTGACCATGATGAGCAGAAAGCAGAGCAGAGAGAAGTAATGAGCCAGCTGTCTGTACCGACTCAACCAGCCTGAGACAAAAAAACACACATTTTAAGCCTAACAATGAATTTCAAGACAGAAGCTGTTCTGATGGACTAGATTGCATGATATTCTGCAGGGGTCCCTATATCAATATCACTGTTTATAACTGCATTTTAAAAGAGAAAATGAAAACGTTTATTACATGAGTACTGTAGCTGATTATTTTATGGATCAACAGCATTATTCTTCTTAAATTGATAACAGTATGAATAGAAAACACTGAGTTTGTAAGCACTCCAAAGTTCCTCTAAGATAAAGTATTTTGCTGTGTTAAGAAATATTTAAATATGTGTATATATTTAAATGATACACATTTGAACTTGAAATGCATACATTTTAGAGCAGCAAGAAACACTTGGCCAAAAAATAATAAAGAAATTACTTTTTTCTGTAGATGCTTCCTTTGGTTTCTCCTCCAGCAGAGCAGATCCATTGTTGACTTTCATGGTTTCAACAGCAACCGTCGGCATGAGAGTTTGATTTTACTGAATGCATTTATGCACAATAGCTCCGGGTTAACAGTTTCTCTTATATTGTTTTAATACCTCCAAGCCTTTGTTGCTCAGAAGCAGGAACAAAAGAACAGCCCAGTGTTCCTAATGTAAAATGATCTCACATGATAGTACTGGTTGCACTGCAGCCATATGCAAAGCACAACTGTCTGATAACCAAACAACTGAAGAGTTCAGCAGCTGATGTTCAGTTTAACTCTCTACCATGGAAGTCCTTCCATCACGTTGCTGATTATTTAAAGGGGCCCTATGATGCTCATTTTCAGGTTCATTTTTGTATTATGTGCCTCTACTGTGACATGTTTACATGCTTTAAAGGTCACCCATTATGCAAAATATACTTTTTCATGTCTCTTATACATAAACATGTGTCCCCTCTGTGTAAAGAGATTCTGAAAGTTTCAGGAAAAAGATTCGCTCACTTTCTGTCCTGATCCATTTATATAAAAACCTGTCTGAAAATGAGCTGATCAGATTTTGGCTTGGCCAACCAAGGTAACACCCTCCACTTTATCACCTGAACCTCCTCCTAGGCCACCATTATGTTCTTTTTAACCAAATATCTATCAGAGAGGCGTGGGGAGTGGCTCCTTATTTTCATCTAAAGTAACAGACAGAGAATCAGCACTTTGGAAACAGGGCTGAAACAGAGGGGATTATGGGATGCTACAATGCATGATCTGTTTGGTATTTCAAGCCAAACACTTCAGAGACATGTTTTGTATATATCTGAGACCTATAATATATTGTTGAAAAACAGTATGATAGGAGACCTTTAATGTTCAAAAAGTCCTGTATTTTCCTTATACTGCCACCACCTCTTTTCACCATATGCTTTTTTCACGCTGGCCAGCGTTGTTGGGATTGGTTAACCGCTTAGACTTGTCCCGCCCCTTAGCCTATGTATTACAATGTGTTGGTTTATAGCCAATAGAAGCACCAGTGTTACACAATGTGTTCATAATGTAAACAAAGGAGTCCAATCAAGGCATTTACATGCACAAAAAGCTAAATCGACAAATACTTTAATTCCAAGATGTTGTACTGATAGTCATATTTACCTTTACACTTATCACCTGGAGTGGCACTTATTTTGGTTTTTAATCATGGCTGTGTTTACCAGAATTGCTACTTGATATTGTTAGTGTGAAATTTGAAAAATAAATTAGTTTGTAGACCGTTTCCAATTTTTGAAATATTTTATTCAAAATCCTGAAATGTTTACAAGTATTTGACATTATTTACAGCGTATATTATTTATTCTTTCAAGTTTTACAATTAAGTTTATAGTTTTGGCTTAAACATGAGGGAGGGAGTGTTGACTGAACACACTGTAATACTTTGAATATTTACAGCCAAAGACACAAAAATAAACATAACAAAAAAAGAAACCTAATTGACATTCAAGTTTACACCAAAGGCGACAATCAGCAAGTCTTCATGCATAAAGTTGTATATCTTATTTGTAAATGTCATTTGTTAAAAAGGAGCTTGCAAACTACACAGTTGAAGCAGGAGGTGTATAAACTGAAGTCTGTAGAACAAAAACAGGAGCAAGGTTTTAAAGTGCTGCTCGTCTTGGCATTACAGTGGAAGAAAACATTTCGCAGATATGTACAGCTGTGTGCGATGATGTGGACCTGATGCTGAGAGATTCTATTACCATGGCAACAACAGATACCCCTTTTTACTATCAATAAAGAGAGCTCATACTCTCTGAGTTTAACTCAGAGAAAATAGGATGATAAACACATAAACTCCCAAGAATGTGCCTTAAAATAACCACAGGGTTAACACTGCCTTAAGAAAGGGCTATGTACTTATTTACAATGTGAGGAATGCCAAAATAAATTATTTTAATAATTAAAAACAGATTATCTGATATAATTGACATGTACAAAAACCTCTTTTGAAGTTGCAGCTACAAACAGAGATCCGTAATGTCTCCTTTCACCTCTTTATTTTTTCTGAGCTTTTGCGCGCGCGCGTGCGTGCGTGCGTGTGTGTGTGTGGCTGCCATGAGCTGGTCGGAAATAGGCAGGATCAGAAAGGTTGTCCACGTGTAAATCCTGCTGTAATCCACCGGTAGCCAAGGGGACAACAGAATTACCGCGGTGACATCTTAAACTGAGTTGGTGCGGTCATGTGAGTCCTGGCCACACCATGTCATGTCTGACATCGAGCTCAGTGCTCTTATGTAACGGAGACATAGATCCACTTACAGACATAGTGATCTTTTTTCTTTCTTAAAGTTTAAAACATCATACTCAGTACTGCAATCTTTCGGTTATGGAGCACACGTAACAAATGAAAAACTTTTTTTTTAAAGTTTTCAATATGAAATACTAATAAAAAACAATCCGCCAACATCTCAACGTGCAATATCAAAATAGTACAGAAGCTTAGTTTGACGATTGTAAAAAAAGTCCTGAAACAGCATTTCTCTTTTTTCTTCACAAATCATTGAGCAGATATTGGATGTCAGTACTCGAGGAACGTGTATAAATCATCAACAATAATCTCTCAGTGTGGCTTTATTTGTATCCTGTGCCCTTAAGCCACTCTTTCACCTCCTGTACAGTCTGTGTTGCTCACAAAAAAGAAACCAAGCTAGTGCGGGTGAGCCAATGGCCACAAGAAACCTTTGGACCTGTTCTGATGGAATGCAATGCTATTATGTGTTCTGGATCCTTCAGAGCACCTATAGTCATGACCACACAAAGCCTTGCGCACTTTGGAGCTTTCAAAGTAGTCTAGTTGAAGCCTCAGAGCGAAGAAAAGAGGGTGTAGGTGGAGAAGGCAGAAAGATCGGACAGGAATGGCAAAAATATATAGGAAAAGCAAAATAACATATCCTGCTCTGCCTCTTGCCCAAGGCTCAGCTTGCAAGCGAGGAGAAAAATCATTCCTCCATCTTCGATCCATGACAAAACAACATTTTCCCACTCAAATATGTGGCATGGGCATGAAACTGAAAATGTCAGGATGATGATGCTATCTCTCTGTGTTGGGGTCCAGTGATAATCGTTAATGGCAGGGTTCAAAGGGGAGCTTGGCGAGCCCTCCGTGAAGCTCCACTGATTCCTCGGACCAGGACATCACATCACCAACAAGGTGCCCTGCGCAGGTCGCCTGGGTGTGAATCTCATTAGACATCAAAACTCTGGACCAGAACTGGAGATCAGACATCCCTCCCATGAAGGATTGAGTGACGTCAAAGCGGCCTCCCATCGTGTCCTGTGAGGAGAAGCAAGGAGCAGGTCAAGATTGAAAATGTTGGATCGACTGAATCCTGAGTAAAAATTGTTTGGCTAATTTGTCTAATGAGCTACAAGGTCTTTCTTTACACACTACGGAAGTAATACATATCAACCTGAAAATACTTGCCTGCAAATATTGGATCCAAACTAATGATTCAAGTAGCAATGTGAATTTCTAGCCACTGCAACATTAGTTTGAAATAAAAGGCTGCAATAGATTTGTGAAGAAATAAATGATGGATTCGACATAATTCGCTATCTTATTGAGTATATTATTAACCGAAATGTTAGTGTATTTGAGTTCTCTTTGGTAAAGAGTTAGCCATAGTAAATATCTAGGGATGTTTTTGTTAAAGGTATAGGAATGGATATTGTGGAGCTGGCATGAGCTGCCTTTGTCAAGGTTGAAACCAAGATTAACATTTTTAGTTTTTGCCTGACAACACACAGTGTGTTTCATAAAGTCATCAAATGATAACACTATCCTACAATACTATAATTAATGTTTTGTTAAAACCACATCCGCAATGTGCAACGTGATTGGCCGATGCCTTCATTCGTAATGCAAAAGATAAAGAAAAATAGACCTTTTTCCAGAAGAAGAAAGTTGCTTTTTGGGTTAGAAGAATACTAATGCAGTATTCTAACGTTTTTCAAGAAAGTATTCATATTGAAGTGCAAATTATTGACTCAAAATCCCCCGCCCTCTGTGTGTATAGGCAATACAAGGTAATGCAAAGAAAAGGTAAAAAAAAAAAAGATTCAGCTGTGTTTGTACATACTGGATCTCTTCTAGAAAAGCATACCGTATGTCTTACCTGCTCCTGGCCCAGGATGAAGGTCCCTCCTGATTTGATGGGTTGCCAGCCTGATAGGTTTTGCCCCGAGCCTTTCTTCACCCCGTCCTGGTAGGCCTCCCAGACACCATCACGTGTCGTCCACGTTACGCATAAATGATGCCATTTCCCATCCGTCATGCTTATGGGCAACGTCACTGCCTAAAAACACAGGTAAACAGAGACAAACATGCCATTAATGGTGAGGGCAGGGAGCGTTCCTCTTCTTCCATCTGTATGAGTCTTTTGGTAAACATCACTAAATCATTGTGAAAACTAATTTCCATGACAAACCTTTATTGGATGAGCCCCATAAAAAAACTCTTCATCTTCGCTGTTCATCCTCATTAACTATTACAATCAATTGCAGACAGAGATGAATCTGCATATTGTGTCATTTATCTGATTGGGAAGCAAACATGACAGTGTATCCCTCCTTGTAATGTCACTCCTACAGAAAATTAGGCCAATCAATTACAGTAATCAGATTAATTGCTTTGCTGATTTGTTTGTTTAGCTCACAGCAAACAGAACTAGGGCAAGGAAGAAAAAAAAAGCTGTCCTCCGATATCAGCTTATCCGTGAATAAAAGATAAAAAGCCCAATAGAATAATTTCATAATTTAGTTGACTTTAGTTTGTAGGTTTGTAAAAAGTCAGGTAAGCGGGTCGAATGTTATTTTTTTCTAAAATCATATTAATTGGAAATTGAGTATTTTTTGCCTCTCAAGCATCAGATGGATTCAATATTGGGGAAAACATTCATTATAAAATTTGTTTCAACATTTTAAATTCTGTGTAATTTGTTTTATGAACAGTCTGAACCTCACCATCCCTTAAAATAAGGGAAATTGAATAATCAAAAAACAGAATTCACCATAAAACCTATGGCTGATTCACACTGCATGTTGAATGTACAAATAAAACTAAAATATTTGCGCATTTTTCTTTAATGCAAGAAATCTACACTTTGTTACACCATTACAACCCATGTCATGTTATAATTCTTTCATGTACTGTAGGCTTCTTTTAGCAAAAGATTCATACAGGGCCTAATTGTGATTTCAGTGAGAATGTCACAAAATGATTTAAAAAGAAAAGCCAAATTCTGAAAAAAAAGGAAGTGACAACATTTAGAAAAAAAGGCAAATTCTGAGAAAAAGGCAACTACTAAGAAAAAAGGCATATTTTGAAGAAAGAAAAGTCAAATTCTAAGAAAAATGTAAAATTTGAGATGCATTGTGGGACATGTAAATCGGTCTGTAACCGTATAATAAACATATTATATTCTTTGCAAGCTCTTGTGGGGCCACAGAAAATGAAGTCACAGGCCGGATTTGGCCCCGGGCCTTGAGTTTGACACGCCTGCCCTACACTAAACCACATGCACTTCGCTCCAATATTCAGCCAATCGGCCTGCTACTCCCTCACTGCGAGGTGGACCCAGGTATCCCTCAACTAAAATACGCCTGATTGCTATCCTGGCTCCAAAATGGGGGCACAAGCTCCCCACTGACATCAGGAGCACAGAAAGTCTACATATCCTCCATCGCAAACTGAAACCTCATCTGTTTCACGATTACCTCAGGCATTAAACCGAACCATGCAACAAAGCCCATTTGAAACAAATGCCCCAGCAAATATGAGTGCATTTTCTGAACTCTTGTTCTGAGTTTTTATCTTTGTTGTTTATTGCACTTTGTTGCTTTGGAATGTAATGTTAGAAGTTACAAAGAGTTTCTAAGTGTAGGGTTCTCAAAATGTTCTGTCCTTCCAACTGTTCAGGATTTATATGTTGTTGCTTTTACCTTGTCGTTGATTAGCAACTCCATTGGGTTGGTGCCCCATTTTATGAGCACAAGCTCGTTGGCTTGTCCAGGCACAGCGTAGGAGAAGGGAGTGCCGAGGCCAGGCCCTTCTCCTGCCTTCAGCCACAGGCAGATGGTCATGGCGAAGACTTCATTGACCACCGCCCGCTTCATCCTAGCATACATGTAGTTTGTCTTCATGGGAAAGTCGAGCATGAAAGCGCTGGGGCTCTTTAGCTTTTTGCTATTTCCTGGTGAGACAGAAGGTGCAACATTTAGATCCAGTTAGGACTACATGTACCTTTCTCCTACCAGCGCTTGGTTTCATTTGAACCTCTGTTTCATGAAGTAATCGCTACAGGCAGATTTCCATAGCAGTTTCGTTACACAGTTCTCATTGAATATACAGTATACTTGTCTTACTATTTATATTTATCAAGCAATGACTAAAACAGAGCCTAAACTGTACAGTGTGTGTGTGCGTGCGTGTACCAAGATCAGTGTTGCCATGGTGTAGTTTGTTGAGCACTGCCTCCAGCTTGCTGTGGCCTGGGCCCTGCGGTGTTGTCTCTTTGCTGCTGGAGGGCAGCTGCGGAGGGTTATGATCAGTATCATAATGGTCGTCGTGATGGTTGTTGTCGTGGTGGTTATCATGGAGATCCTCATGGTGATCATCGTGGTGGTAACCAGGTCCGTGGTGATACTCATGATGGTCATCGTGGTAACCAGGCGCGTGGTGGTCATCGTGGTAACCAGGCCCGCGATGATAGTCATAGTGATCATCGTGGTAATCATCGTGGTAATCATCGTGGTAACCAGGTCCGTGGTGATCATTGTGGTGATCATTATATTGGTCATTATGGTGGTCACCATGGTGGGTGCTGCGATGGGAGCCATAGTTCCCAGGCTGCCGAGTGTTCGATCGCCTGTTGTAGTGGTTGTTATGGCGATAATGGGGACCAGTGCGAGGACTGTTCCTGTGGCTACCATGTTGGTTGTAAGGATGGCTGCCGTGGTGGCCGTCAGAGTGACCGGTACCATGACGGTCATCATGGTCATCATGGTGGTTATCACGGGGACCAGTCCCACGGTTCTCATTGTGGTGTACGTCACGAGGACCAGTCCCACGGTGGTCATTGTGGTGGTCGTCACGGTGACCAGTACCATGGTGTTCATCGTGGTGATCATTACGGTGACCAGGACCTTGGTTGTCATCGTGGTGGTTGTCATTGTGACCAGTTCCATGGTGACCAGTGACACCATGATGGTCATCATGGTGGTCTTCGGTGTGGCTGCTGCCGTGATTGTCGTCGTGGTGGTCATCATGGCGATCGTCATGGTGATCCCTGTAGTAGCTGTGCAGCTGCTCTTCCAGGGCGGTGATCTTCCGCTGGAGGAGTTCTCTCAGGGAGCTGGAGTAGGAGCTGGAGGAGTTCCTGGCCTGCAGAAGTACAAACAAATAAGTCAGAATATCTGACTCTGTGCATACAGTGGATGTAAAAAGGCCCCAAATCTGATGTATTTCGAATCAGACAGTTAAAAAAACGTTTGTTGAGCCTTTTCGGCACTATTTTAACCTTTTTTCATCCACAAATTCTACTTTCTTACTCAGCTGTAAACTCCCCAGAACTGGGGGATTTATTTAATGCAAAATACAATTTCTACCACAGGAATATACAGCAGTGATGTCTTTTAACTTTGTTTGTTTGATGTCCTATGTCACTCACGTCAATAGTTGTATCATGATGCAAAGACATGCTGGACGCAGGTGAAGATCTCCACTATGGCTCTAATTGTAGTCAGATTGTCCCAGTTAGGATTCCTTCTTTTGTTATTCGTTTATAGTAGGGGCTAAATTATCCACAGAGGTCTTCTGATATCAGAAACATTTTGACCGCGTTGTTATAAAACTAAAGTAAAGCAGTTTCACATTAAACGTCAGTGTTTTTTAAATATTGCAAGAGAGTGATAAGGAAAGCTTCCACCATAGATCAAATCCTCCCCTCAGACCACTGTCACATACAGTACACAACATCTTGGTCTGAACACAAACATTGTACATTTGACAAAGTTATTCTTGGAATTTGAACTCATATTGTTGAATTTAAAGCCACAATGTAGATATCCTACAAGTGACAAGACAACTGAGCAAACATGATATGCTGATGAAAATGTTGGATAAAAAAGAAAGGTAGAGGACGATGAGCTGTAATTGTTTTGTTTACCACTATTTTCCAAGGTGAAGGATAAACTCTCATGCTTCAATAATTAGCATATTTGACAAGCTCTCAGTTTGAAGGAAATAAAGAAGAAAATATGTTTGCAATAAATTGAGTTAATTGCATTTGAAAGTAGAAATATGGAATAACTTGCAGGAAAATAGTTTGTCCCTCCCTCTTCTCCTCTGCTCATCCTTGTCTTCATCAACAACGAATCCGGCTTTGTTCCCTGCCAGCGCACGCAATGATTAAAAGCCTCGTCGGGCAGGATGAAACTAATTGAAGGGGTGGTTGGCTAGTGCCCTTCGGCGCATAGCCAGAGGCTAGAGGTGTAGACATCCTGTTGGAGGGGGGAGTGACGAAAGCTAAATCTTGGCTCAGCTTCTGTTTTGTCTCACACCTTCTCAGGAAGATTGAAGGGGATTTCTGGCAACACTTTCCATGAGACCACTTGCACTGATAACATGGATTTCACAGGTCAGCGGTCAGTAGGGGTTTAGTCTCGCTGTATGCCACCAGAATCATTAAATGTTGTAAACTAAGCAAGATAGAACCACATGCATCCCTTGTTATAGGTGCTGAAACTCAAATTATTGAGAATGAATTGGTATCATGGATTGGTCTTCATGTGTGTTTCAGAGGTTTTCCCCCAACTTCTCAATCTTACTAAAAATGTTAGATTTTTCCCAAACTACAGATTATCCACTTAAAGTGAAACTAACAATTTAAAAAATATATCACCAAAAATGTAATGCATTGTACTCTAACAGTATCCAATGGGTTACCATGCCTTGATGAAACACTTCCTCTTTACAGTATTTTGGCAGCAGCAGGCACAAACAGCTTATTCAGCAACTGAGACTTTGACCCTTAATGACGCAAGATTTTACCCCAATTAAGTCAAACGTTTGATAGGCTTCCCTGCAGACTTCTCAGCCTCTCCTGGCTTACAAATTACCAAGCATCTCAAACATGTTTGTATAGCGCAGGTGGAGTAAGTCCTCCTTCCGGAGTTTACCCTTTTCACCTGAAGCATCACGGCTTTAATTACAGCCATATGAATACATTTGGATAGGAAAGATCGCTGTGCCTTGCTAGCCCTTCAGCATTTTTGCATAGTTAAGGGAAAAAACTATTTGACTAATTAAATATATATATTTAACAACTTCTGTAGGAAGCAACTTGAGAAAGAGCAGAACCGTGGAGCACCAACCTAAGGTTCATCAAAAATACATAAATAAATAAGAATAAACTTGACCTTGCTGCAAACCTATGCCTATGTAGTTGATTAACTTTTTAACTTATTCAACTCTTTGTTGCCCACTACATAAGGGGTCCAAAGTAGTTTTTTTGGTAAATATGTTAAGATAAATTATATTGGCGACATGTCTATAATGCTAAAGTTTGTTTTGTTTGCAGATGACACCCATTTATTTACTTCTGGTTGACATTGTAAACAGAATTGAAAACTTTAAAACTCTACACAAGAGGCAACCTTAGGTTTATATATATATATATAAACCTGACTATCCAAAAGGTAGCTAACTAATTTCAATTTTTATTGCATGCATTTTAGATCTTTGCACTCACCTGCAAACTTTCAAGTCTTTCCTTCAATGTCTGCAGTGTCTTGCCCGTCTGTTCAGGGGAGAAGGAGCTGTGTTTTCCATACGACGTACCCTTCCTGCTGTGGGGGTCTGATCTGTGCGGGTCTGATCTGCCATGGGGGTAGTGGTGATCACTAGGGTGATACGTCCCATGGTGTGATGATGAAGGCGTGTGGTGGGTGCTGTGAGGCCCATGGTGATCATCATGGTGGTTGTCATGAGTATCGTGATGGTTGTCGTGACGGTTTTCATGGTGATCTGTGTCATGGTGACCACCAAAGCTCTCGCACAAGGTGAGCTTGGCGGTCAGCTCCCTGATGGTCTCTCGCTGGTCCAGGATGGTCTCCTTTTGCCTCACTAAGCTCTCACGCAGGTGCAAGATGGTGGCTTTGGCCTCGTCGGACATCATGCCTCGCCGGCTGCTGCCATTGTGACCATTAGTGTTGCCGTTATTGCTTGGCCCATGGGGAACACTGGGTGGGGAGTAACAGCTGGGGTCTGCTTCTGGGGGAATTGGGGTGCAGACAAATTTGGGGCTAATCCCATAGTCATACTCTATACCAGGCAAACTTCCTGTTGCTGCTACTGCACATGACAGAAAGTAGTAGGCAATTAGAAGACGTCGAGGGAAGAAGGGGAGGATACACCCCAGAGAAGGTCCAAGCCATTTCTGGTGTCTTGGAGACAGAGGCCTGAGGCTCAGAGGACTCACGTCTCTGGCCATTTTCGGCCTGAGTCCAATTTATTCCTTGAAAAAAGACAATCCTCCCCCGCCTTAGCTGTGTTTTGAAGAACACCATGAATGGAGGTCATTAACGTTGGATTGAAAGATGGTTGGGCAATTCATGTCAACCCTAAAATCACTGATGAAATCTCCTCCCAGGCTTACTCCTCAAATGTATTTTAGAAGTCAAGCAAACAAACTCAAATGGTAGTATTCTGAAACCGCACAAAGGGTGATGCCAAACCCATAAGCTGCTTGCCTACAACAATGCAGTATTACCCAAGATTTGTTGGCTCTATGGTAAGTTTATAAGCCGTGAAAGCTGGACCGATGTATCTTGATAGGTCCTGCTGTTTGGAACGAGGTGTTGGGCGCCAGCCAGGTGATCCCTTTTGAAACTTCTGTGTCCGACAGCCAAGAGTAACCCCTTTAACTTTGGCTTCTAACCGCCCATCAAATCCTAGGGTGCTCTTACCTGTGGGACAGAAAATCGATTAAACTCAGATAAGAAAAACTATGATGTAATATATCATAAATGGCTCAGTCAAACTTTGGTTGGTTAAAATGTTGGAGTATATTGCCGATTGTTTTGAACCATCTATAATTGAAATTGCCGCCAATAAGAACATACAAAAACAACAACTAGAGATAACATTAGATAAACTAGTCAAGATGTGGCTGTCTTTCATTTGATGATTGAAACTTGAGGTAGACAATGAAAATTGATTAAAGGGAATTTGGGTCATGACGAATTATAGATAGATACAAATATAAATCAGATAGAAAACAGGTAAGTGCGTAAGTGAGAGCTTTTTCAACTCCAATTTTGAAATCACTCCTTCACTCCGTCAGCATTTCCTTCCTGAACTGACCTGGCAGTGACGATATCAGGCAGGTAGACCACATTAAGGGGAGGGTCAGTAGTGGGTCGGGCAATAAACAGGCTACAGTGTAATGAGATTATGGCCGATTAATCGTGCTTAGCAGTTCACGTAATAAAAGTTTACTTCATTTAAAACATTGGTGAGTGGGCAGTCACATCAGGGCCCTATGAATCAGCGCCAGAGCCTGGGGTCAGCATGTTTATTGGTTATTTTTAGACATTACAGTAAGGGAGAGTGTAAAATGGGAAGGACAAACTCAGACGGATGATAACGCATGATAACAAACCAAGAACCAAAACTAAATATCCAGAAGTTGTACATAGTTGTTTAACCACTGTATGAGTTCAAGACACTTCCTATGAATATGTCATATTTACCTAACAATAACAGAATATTGTTCGGTTCAACTTTTCCCACTTGCAAGTCCCCATCTGGCAAGTATTATTTCTCATCTGCTCCACATATACAGTCAAAAACCCCTAAATAATCACACCATTCTGCCTAATTTCGGAAGTTTTCTTGACAATATCAGTATAAGCTATTATAAATGTGTCAGTGGAAAGTCAATTTCATTGTAAGTGGTCAAGGAAATCATGTATTCTATCATGATTGTCAATTCACATTTTTAAGGGGGAACATTATATTTTACTATTATTTTAGTCTTTATTTGACAGAAGACAGTGTAGAAATGGGAAAGCAAGAGAGAGGGCCATGACCTGGATAAAGATGACCACAGGCCGAATTCAAACCAGGGATGCTGAGGTTATTAGGCATGCGCAATAACCACCATTTTTGAAAATGTAAGAAACGACAGCTATTGAAGACACCAATACTATCTATTACAAGTGAGCACAACCAATGTTATTAAATGTTTCCAGCTTAAAAGTAACTAAACATCCCATCTATTTTAAAGCATATGGCAAGTTTTGCATGTAGGGTCAGCCAGAGAACAAGATGCAAAGCCAATAAGAAGAACACGCATGTACTGTACCATTCACTCTAAGGTCATAATCTACACATCCTAACACCAAGTGCATTGCTTCTCAAATTCGGAGAAAAAAACTTTGCTGGGAATTATCTGCAGCCAGCAACCATAAAGACTGGAAACAATGGGAAACAGCTAGCCTGACTTTGTGAAAAGGTGAAAAATCGACCCACAGGGCCCCCTTATATTGACAAAGCACATGTTTGTTTAATCTGTACGGAAAGAAAGTGTCAAATTAAATATTGAGATTTTATGCTGTGCTAAAATATGTCATGGGAAGTTGCCAGTCTTGGAGTGTCTGCTTATTTCCCCTGACAATCTTACCAAGACAACATGACTTAAATCTCACATGCTGAAGAAATTACCTATGTTTTCTTATTTAATAAATAGACCAACTGATTGCTCTTCATTTGGGATTTAAATAATTTAAGGAACGTGGTTGTTATGTTGCATACATATAAGATAATCACGACTAAAATCGCAGAATCAAACCAACATTGATTGACCTTTCTTATCCACCCTAAATATAACAAGTTGGTTCAATGAGTACAGTTGAATAAGGTGTTCAATGCAACGCATGCGCAACAGACGAAAGCCTTAATCTGACAGTGAACCCTGCTGTCTGGTACTTAAGGACAACATTAGTGGACCATATGGTTTGTGTTTATTCAATACAAAACATATATGGGTCACGATAGTAGGACGCTATATAAATAATGTTAATAGCTTTTTCTCCTGGGCAGTGAGAACAATAGCCTATCCGACCTTTTTGGTTGTTTCAAACTCTTTTGGTGTCTATATTTATTTAATGTCAGTTTCTAATATTATCTTGATATCTGTTTTAAATGTTGACCAAAAGTAAAAGGGACTAAGCAGTGGGATGTTGACCTAAGCAGAGGCAGAGCTGACCACAGGAATACATTGAGCCTTACCCCCTCCTCTCAAGGATGACGGACTAAAAGGATTGGTTGGATTTAGTGCTATTTAACGAAGGATTGAATGCAGGGTCTTTGTTCGGCTAGAGCAACATGCCCCCGACTCAAAAAGTCATTGTTGTCACACGTGTCACTGCAGAAGAAGAACATGTGCGTGACATGCAGCAGCATCTGATCATTATGAAGCAACCAACAAAAACAACAACACATTCTTGTTTTTTAAACATTGAATAATGTTCGGATTGCATGAATATTCAGCTTTTTAAATGATTACTATAATCATAATTAGTTAGCTTTCGATATCATCTGTTTATACTACATAAAGAGATATCCACATAATTATACATTTCATTTTATATCCTGTTTATCTTATTACATCTTATTTGATATTTTTCCTATTCCTGCAACTTACTTGTTCCATTAAGTATCTTGTAATATTTGATTGCACTATGCTATTTCTTGTTGTATGTTGCAATGTTTGAGGAGCCAAAACTAAGATATTTTGCATGCACCTTTGATTCCTTAATACATTTAAGGTAAAATAATAATAATTTCCAACTCCTGCTTATCCAAGTTAACATAGTGTCCGGACATGGTTCAGTTTTCAAAGCCAATCCCAGCCCCATCACATGGATCAATTATCCAGGATGACTGGATGTACGTCCAACAGCGCGGCCTCCTCCTCCCCCTCCTCCTGTTCTTACCCTGACCTCACCTTTTCCCTCTCGCATCACATCACATGAGTCAATCTTCCCTCCCCCTGTCAGGTGACCCGGCTTGATGGTGAGTCATGTCAGTCTCAACGTGACACTAAAACTATCGGCCCCTCGAGGACACTGTGTCAGAAGACAGTAGATGGACATTAATCTCACCTAGACAATTAAGGAGCACAATGTGTTAACAAAAACGTTTTTTTCAGGGAACAATAAACAAAAAGGAGAATACATTAGATTAATGTTGTAGAACTTGTTGAATATATTTGTTAATCTTTTCACAATTTCGGATCAATTTAGTGGCTTACGTTTAATTTTTTATTCCTTTTAGCCGATTTTAGAAAGTTCATAGACGTGGATTTATGTGATCAAATGTATGAAAACATCAATTATAATTGATTATAATTGACCAGAAAACAGTTTTCTTTTGGAAAAGGTCATACATATTTTTAAAATAAGCTTCTTTAAAAAGAAAAACCAAAGAAAAGGTTCTGAGTTAACCTTTAGCACAACTTAATTTTAAAGGTTCCGTGACATGGCGATTTCTACTGATCATAATTCCATTGTTGAGGTCAACTAGAATAGATTTACATTGTTACAATGTTCCAAACTCACATTGGTTTCTCATACAGCATCTCTGTATGTGTATTCACTCTCTGTCCTAAACGGCTTGTTGGAGCTCCTGCTCCTGCCCCCCCCCTCCCTATGAGCCCACTGTGCTCTGATTGGTCAGCTCGCCCACTCTGTTCTGATGAGTCCACCACCGTTACAGCGGAACATCAGTGATTATGTGTTACAATGGTGTTAGCAACCAGAAAATGACACCAGCAATGACAAACAGATGAGAATGCTGTGTGGGGTCTGGGTACCGTGTTGGCGGGACGTTGCGGGGCTCGCTGCTGCGAGGAACGGACAGGGTGAGCTGGGTTACTGGTGACGTTTCCTGGTTGCTGCGTGGGGTCTGCGAGACAGCGAGGGTGTTTCTCAAGGAAGGATCCCTCAGAGCCATTATTTCAAGGATGCTACGTCATCGAATCCCGCCGAAGGACTGTTCCAAAGTACAGGATCCTTGGAATTCTACCGAGGATTGAGTCCTTCGTTGCGGTAAATTTCTAGGATGCACATGTGTATCCTCGGCGGTCTTAAAAGCCCCACAATGCTTTGCGCATGGACCAATTTCCAAAACNTCTGAACTTTTTTGCGAGTGGTGGAGGCTTAAATGCTAGTGGGAGTTGGGTTTGCACTTCAGTTTTTTTTCTTTTGGTACCGGTGATATTCACGTTCGGGTGATGCCTTTTCAAATGAGTGTGCAAGTTTGATGTATTGCCAGCCGCGTAACCAATTTTAGTTGAACAATGCCGACAAACATCTTTGGTTCGGTCCACCTGTCTTTGTCCGTCATCCTTGTACGTAACTGAAAAACCAAAATGTTCCCAAACCGAAGACTACAATGATGCTGGAGGATTTTCGAGCTCAACTTTATCTGCGTTCGACATTTTGACAGTTCCTCAAATTACTGACTAAATTTGAGCGCAACGCATCCCTGTGACCAGCTCTCATAGTATGCCTCTCGTCCAATGAAATGACTTGGTCGCTCTATGATACGTTGAACCCAATGTGAGCAAATTACTCTGAATGCTGCGACGCAGCACCTGAGATTACTTCCAAAAAGTTGTTCACGTTCTCAATTTTTTAAGTTTAACGTTATATTCGTTCGGTACACACGTGTACCGAACCGAAGGGCCCATACCGAATAATTTCGGTACGAATACGTATACCGTTACACCCCTAGAATACAAATTTTACTATTGATTGGTGATGGTGATTCTATGATTTTCTAATGGCTGCTTATCCTCAAGGACTTTTTCAAGCCTGCAAACACAAGGAGAACGTTTTATGTTAGTTTAGCGGTTCTGTCCTGGAGAGATAATCATTTTACAAAATAC